GTACGAATCGTTATAAATGAAAGTTAAAACGGTTATTCACCTATTTACTATACTGCCATGATTTGGAAAAACGTATTATATCTATTATTGATATTTTTTAGATATGTTACTTAGGGGCATCCTATGTATATAATCTACTATGTGATTTTATCATTATAGGCCTCAAAAATGTTTAGAAATATAAAATTAGTATGAGAGATAAGCATTATATCCATCCACCAAGGCAAAACAATTTGGAAAAGTGCTTTATATTCTCCAAGCATTGAAAAGTTAGCAATCTATCCATCTCAGAAAACAAGCTATGTAGAGGTTACTGATATTATTAAATTTTACATTTTAAAGTGTACCATACTTTAATATTTTAAAGAAATTACATATTTAAATCAGGTAAGACACAATTTGTAAACCTTTTATGAATGTTAATGCAATAATGTTTTATATAATTATATATAAAAAAAACATTAAAATATTCTTTAATTTGTTTTTTTTTTACGTTATTGGGACTCTAATTTCTCTAAAAATCACTTTTATTTCTTATTTTTCATTGGATCTAAAGTGATGCATTTTACTGGCAAAATTGGGTATAATGCTTAAAATCAGATTGTTTATGCTTCATTGGCATTCGTATCAATTTAAAAAAGTGCATTATGTCTATTTTGACATTTTCGTAGAAAAGAAAAACACCACAAAACACTTAAGTAAAATTTCTTGTTGTGTAGTTTTACACACAGAAATCGAACAAAATGCATTACCATAAATAAAGGCTAACAAGAAATGCGTTTTGCTCAATTTTTTTTTTTTTTTTTTGTCTTTCGTGGGAGTCACCCACCTTTATTGTCACTCTTTTTTTTATTGTTTTCATTCATTTTTCCATCTTTAATCTATATTATATTTCAAATAAACTAATAATACATGTATAATACTTTTGTCAAAATTAAAGCCTTCTTTCTGACAAAATATTTTTTCCCCTAAAGTTTGAAACAAAAAGAAAAGGGAAAAAATAGAGGTGGAAATTCATTAAATTGTATAATAATTAGTTCCAAAATATATTCGATTTGTGAAATATATTTTTGATAATTCACAGTCAGTATGACATCTTCTTTTGTTAAGTATATATATACTTATATATATATATATACACATAAATACACATACATACATAAAATATATATTGTATTTAATTTTTTCTTTATTTTATTTTAAAATTAAAATCCATTATGCATCGTTTTTTTTTTCCACATCTTTTTTTTATATATATTTTTGTACAATATCCAAATCATCTTTGACTTAGGCCTTTCAAAAGTGTCACCTGTATGTACTTTCCAAATTTTGTTATAATTTACAATTCGTAATACAACTACAATATTGTAGTATTTACTTCTATTTATGGCTTTTTTTTCCTTTTCAATGTAGATATGTTTAAAAAAATTCTTAACTATCAATCAGGAAATTATGTATTCTTTTCCATTTCCTTTTACCCTTTACTTTGTCGATATATAAGTCAACTTTAATTCTGAACATGATTTTTTGTTTAAAGGCACTCCATAGATCAGTAAATCTTGATTTTTTTAATTCACACAGAATTTTTTCTTTGTAAATAGTAAAAGCTGCAGTGTAAATATAATCTACAATTACATTTTCTGTTCCAAGAACCAGTTGCTTAAAAGATATATCTTCTTGCCCAATACCTCTTAATATATATTTAATTTTCATCCAAAAAGGTTTGATAAATGTACAATTGAAAAGCATATGGTTTTCATCTTCAACATTTTCTTTACATTTATAACATTTGTCAATATCTTTTAGTTTCCATATATGTAATCTTTTGTTAGTAGGCAAAATCCCGGCCTGTGTAAGAGCTTGTAATTGAACTGGGCTAATTTTTTGTCCTTCATTTTACATATTTTATATAACCAACATGATTTCCAATCAATATTTTCATCAATAAAACAATCTTCCCATTTTTTTTTGTATTGTTGGTGTTACAAAAACGTTGTCTACTAAACATGCATATACATTTTTAGTTTTAATATGTTCGAAATTTTTATCGTTATTTATGTTACATTCAGAGTTAAAAATGTCTGTTTTTAATTATATATTTCCATTGATCTGGTATTGCTTTAATTATGCAAACATATTAATTTAGCCAATTTAATTTGCGTCGTAATTTTAATAATAATTCCTCGGAACGTATAAATGTATTCTTATTTACAAGATCCTTAATGAACACTATATCACAGTTAATCCAGTGTTTGTATAACAATGACTTGTTATTTAGTTGGATTAAGTGATTACCCCACAACTGTGTAATCATAATTTCCTCATATGTTTGAATACCCCTTTGATTTATTTTGTTATATTTAGTACAAGCTTGCAATAATTTTTTATAAAATATTGGCATATCATACTCAGCAATAATATTGTTTAGAAACGTCATATTAAAAATAACCTTTTCAAGACCTATTTTTTGAATAAAAAAATTTGGAATACATTTCCACTTGGCATCAGCATTATATAAAATGCGTTTTGCCCATAGTACATTTAATGCATTCACGTGTAAACCAAAATCTGGCATTTTAATGCCACCCTTCTTTTCATCACCAATTAACGTTTTCCGTTTTATTTTCTCTCTTTTGCTATTCCAAATAAACGCATATATTAAGCTATCTACTCTATATATTACATATTTTGGTACATCTATAATGTTTGCTGCATATATTAATTTTGACAAAGCAAGAGATTTTAACACGGTAACTTTTCCATGAAAAGAAAGGTTTCTCGCACTCCATGATTTTAATATTTGTTGAAGTTCTATCAACTTACCGTCCCAATTCTTACCTGTACAAGACTTAATGTCGTACCCTATGTAAATTCCTAGAACCTTTACTGGATGTTTAACCCAACACATCTCGAATGGTTCATCTTGCTCAATATTTTAGACACTATAATTTTGCCTTATAATGCGTTCTTCTGAATCAAGTCAGTATATATATCAAGGTATCTTAATTTCAAAAAATTAAAATCAAAATATCATCACAGCACAAAGCTCAATTGCGATAAAATGTACAAATAATCGTCAAAGTATGAAAAATAGTCTTAAAATTACAGGACAAATACAAATTTACACCACAGAATCAAACATCACACACAAACAACCAAATTAAACAAGATTATGAAACATCAAACATAGGTCATTGCAGAATTATTGTTATCATTATGATATTATTAATATTTTTGCTATTATTTTTATTATTACTATTATTAATCATAGATATTGTCTTTAAATATTAAAATGTTTATTGCTAATTACTATAATTTGTATACAAAATAGGTCATTAAAAAAATATATATATATACGGATTTAAAAATATTGTTACATTGGAGTAATGCAGCGGAACTATACCTATTCGAGAAACTGTATAAGGTATGGTAGAGGACTGTGTTTATATCGGTTGGTTTTACATCTAAATTTATCATATTTTTTAGGCTTTCTTAATAGAGCAATAGATGTTTCGGAGCTTGTGATTGGAAAGCATGAACTTCCTCTAAGTGAGCTCACTGTGCTCTGAGGCCAGAGTTCCACAAAGGCGCGCCATACTCCGACAATGGGCGGATATAAGATTTATAGATACAAGTCAACTCATAGTGATCTAAACCAGCTTCAGTTTCCTAATCATGAATTGTTTTCTATTGGCCTTACTATAAATAGAATTGGTGTTAATTTCCCATTTCAAATCCATGTCAAGAATGACACCTAGGAGTTTTACTCAATCGATAGTGGGGAGGATGTAATTAGATATGCAAATGTTCATCTCTGGAAGTGCCTTTCGGTCAAAATAAATTTGCATGACCTGACACTTGGTAGGGTTGAGCTTCAGCTTGTTTTCTGCTGGCCACTTAATTAGAGAGTCCACAGCATTTTTGATGTTACTAGGCTCATGTAAATACCTACTTTCACCAAGAATCAGGTCATCCACATACTTCCAGACATGAACATTTGATCCCTCACTGTCTGCCATCGCCCCATTGATCGCACATAGGAATATAATTGGTGCCAAAATCGTCCCTTGTGGGACACCGCCATGTCGAAGAATCCAGTCCGAGTAAGATTTGTTATATTTTACTCGTTTGCTGACTTTTTGAGATAAAACTAATAACCCATTTTAAAATAGTAGGTTGAACACCTATGGCAAGTAAATTTGAAAATACAAAGGTATGGTCCAGGACGTCAAACGCCTATGAGAAATCCGTCAATACCAATGTAATGATATTGGCGGACTTCTCAGAATTGTATGCCAAGTGATGGTAAAAATCTACAAGGCAGTGTGTAGAAGATTGTCATATTGCCTGATATCGAGGTAAGTTTGCATACAATCAATTACAAATTTAGAGACTCTCTTCTCAGCAATTTCTGCAGTGGAGGATGTGAGTGAAATTGGTCGAAGTTTGTCTATTAAAGGGGGTGTCTGTTTTGGTAGAGCGACAACATTTGCAGCCTTCCACTGGCTTGGGACAACACCCTGGTTTAGAGATGCACTAATTATTTCTGTGATAGGAGCACTGAATTCATATGCGCATTCCTTTAGAACCTTGTTCGGAATTTTGTCGAGTCTCCCTGCCTTGGAATGTGACACCCTCTTCAGATCTTCAAAATTTTCCCAAGGTTAGAACCAGGGAGGTGGCATTAAACATGGTAAATATGCAGGTAGTTGATCAAGCGTTATTGGATCTTGTGTTAGTGAGAAACTGGATGGATGTTTGTTTATCTCATTGGTAATCAAACCATGGCTATTGAGATCAATGCCTGGAATTGAAATAGATAAGTTGGATTTTACCCATGTTTGTAAAATTACATATTTCCCTATGCCACCTTCCTGGTTCTGTTTGCTTAAGACATTTGATCCTATTGGCATAAAACAACTTTTTAGCTTTTTCTATTTCGAAGATAATATTGTTTCTAAAAAAACATTTTATATTATAATGTTGACTACATTTTCTAGAACATCATGTGGGCTATTTTTCCTGATGAAGAGTGTCTCAAGATAGATATTACGGAAGAATCGAAGCCAAGCAGGTGTATTAAAGGTAAGACTCAATCAGCGACACTTTGCATTTGTTCAGCGCCATCATCGGGAAATGTTAAAGCTATGAAACACGAAAAGAGCCTTGTTTATTAAGGAAATGAGACTCAATTTATCTGATAATTTACACTGTCTTCGATGTTCAGAATATATAAGAAATAAACGGCTGTTAAAAATCTAGTAAACTTATTAATTATAAACCACCCGATAAGGCATTTAAGTTTTGAATTCATTATTTATCATGCATCAGAGTTGTAACAATTTTTTTCAATAGATAATGCTAAATATCTCGGCCAATTTAATAACCCTGGTGATGTGCTAGTAAATAGGTGGCAGTATGAATATGAAAAACCATCTGATTTAGAGAATGGAAAGGGGCCAATCGACTATAACGTGGACGGGTGTATACCATCCAGAGAATTAGTCGTTGGCACATGGACTGATACAAAAAACGGTAAGCCTATTTTCCATAAATTCGCTACAGGTTTTTGCTGCCTTACAGCAAAATTTTAGCAATTTATGTAAACCACGCTTAACTTAAACGTTTCTTATAATGCAATGTTTAGAATGCGATGTGAGTTGTATATTTTCTCCTTTATTCACATTTTGTATTTAAATTGAAATTTCTTCATTAAGTTGATTGTCAGTTGATAACAGTTTAATTCTTCGTTATTCTGTTGACATTAAATATTTCACCCAGCTCCTGCTCTACTGGTTAATGATTTTCACGGACAATCTAGAAATGAATTTGAACTTTGTAGGTCAATGTGCCATTACCAGCTTCGTTATCCTCTCTTTTTTTAAAATAAAAACAAATGTATCATAAAATAAAATAGATGTGTATAAGAGACAGTATATATATATATATATATTACTTGATAATACTGTTCTGACTACACTTGATGTTTCGTCATTAATTACTAGTACTCCTAATGTAGAAGGTGTTAATGCGTGTATTACAAGCAAAATTGTCACAAAATCCAATCTAAATCTCACCTACATGAACTTTTTTGGTGATTCTGACCAATAATTATTTTGTTTTCTAGAAAATTATCTCGAAATTCATTTGATGGGTACATAATTCACTTTTAACAAGTCCACAAGCATCGTAGACTTTTTGGAAATAAACGTGACAAAGGAAAATTGTGCACTTAAAACAGGTCTCTTCTTTAACACCCATGGATAAACATATGTTCTTCTTCCTAGCAGCTAAACTCCCCGCACTATACCAAAAACTTTCCGTACAAGCAATCATTGCGCATGAGACGAATTTGATCTTCTGATTTAGATATTCGGATTCGCACAGAAGAGCTATCCGGACACCTCCGTAATAAAATGATATGATAGAAAAACCATCGAAGCTGATATCAAAAAACCAAAGGACATTACTCACGTTTAAACAAATTAAGTACAAACAACGTCAACGCAAGGACTCTTAACTGTAACAGTTAAAAGTCCTTAGTCAGCGATCAACAAGACTGTAACCTGGTTACTCCCTATCACCCTTTTCGGACTTTCCACAAAGACTATCTAAATGAAACAGTAAAACGGTTGTATTATACAACAATAACCTTTATTTCAAGTGCTATACCAAAAATAAAACTACATAGCAACGAACCACCGATCGGAGTTATTAACTCGCAATCCCAACTATAAGCGCAGCATCACAAGAATCGTGAACATTCTCCCACCTAGTGGAGTATCCAATACCAAGTCTACTAATCTTGGTTCAAGTCATCAAATACATATATCGTTGAATTACATAAACGTTGAACTGCAAACCAATTCAATATATCAACTCGTACAATCATATGTCCTATTGAAATAACTCAACTTTTAAGAATATTTTGGGAGAGCAACAGGTAACTAATGCATATTCCTAGATATGTATATAAAAAATATTGTAACCATTAACTTATCAACTTCAGATATGTTTACTAAATGCAAATCCGCATACACAACTTGATGACCATGTAACCATTTCTTAGGTTAAGTATCTTAGGCTGTATACTTTCTGCTGGCTTGACAAACCTATACACTAAAGCAAAGAAACTCTGCGATCCATGTATATACCAAACCGATCAAGCCACATTTAATCAACGTTTAATCTCTACTATATTCATAGGAACAATTACTGTATGATCTACTGTAAACATTTTGTTTTTGTTAAAAAGAATCAAACCAGATTATTAGTTTCTAAGCAAAATGAATGATAAATGAAGTTTAACAAAAAACAATTTGAATTGTGTACCCAACCTACAGTATCAATGGTTTAAATTATAGGAACACAATACTGTATTATCATTCGTTTTAAATTTTACAAGTCAAACACTTTACTAGGTTTACTGAATCTACCACTGCGAGTCACAACCCCTTCTTTATTACTACTAATCTCTGGAGTGGGGTTGCACTGAACAGTGTTAACCAGTTCTAAGTCATGTAACATTTGAGTTGAACGTGTGACAATCCTTTGGCTGTCTTAATTTGAAAGGCTCTGGGAATGCCATCTTTACCTATAAACTCTTTTATAAGACTAAAGATCCTACAATTACACTACCTTTGGATTTAAATTTGTTAACCATAGGGGAAGGTTCCTAAAATAATCCTTTCTCCATTTGTCCCAGAATGCTTCTAATCGACTCTGACGTATCATTTCCCTTTCACATAGATCTTTTTTGGGTTGTGGCCACTTCAGTCTCTGAGACCCTAGTAGAAAAACCTGCGGCCAACCAATTAAGAAATGGGATGGGGTAACTATCCAATTCATCCTCTACAAATGTCAATAGTCTAGAACTTACGCACGCCTCGACCTCATGTAGGCAAGTTTCAAATTCTTTTCTTGTGAGACAATCTGATCCCAATGACTTTTTCAAAGCACATTTGACTGACCGTACAAGCCGCTCCCAACCATCCTCCCCACCAAAGTGAACGAGGAGCATCTCCACTTTGGAGCTTTAGTACCCAAGTACTGAATCAACTGTTTCTCTGTGCCATTAAATGTTTTTTGCATTATCTGAGTACAGTATGGTGGGTGACCCACGTCTGGCCACAAACCGTCTAATGCTCCTGTGACATACATTCTGTTGCTCCAAGTGGATAGCTCTTACTACAGCACATGTATAGAGGATGTAAAACTTCACCCATGGGAAGTCCACACAAAATAGAGGACCTGCATAGTCTAAACCTTTGACTGTAAATGGGGGAGCCCGTTGAACTCGCATAACTGGCAGCGGTGCCGTAATTTGGTTGCAAGCCTGCGCATCAACCCTTTGACATGGCATACAAGATTTCTTTACTGCCTTAAATATGCGTCTGAGACCAACAATCCAAAACTCATTCCGAATCGAAGTAATAGTGTCTCTACACCCTTATGTTTCAACATAACATGTTAAGATCTAACCAGTCTTTTTCTTCTTTCGGCTTCTCCCTTCAGGGGTCGCCACGGGAAACAAGTCGTCTCCACTTCGTCCTGTTCATCACATCCTCCTCATTTACACCTAGTTCCTTCATGTCCTCCCTTATCACGTCCATATACCTCCTCTTAGGTCTTCCTCTTTTTCTCCTACCTGGTAGCTTCATTTCCAACATCCTCCTCCCAATGTACTCCATGTCTCTTCTGCATACATGGCCATACTATTTCAGCCTTGCCTCTCTCAACTTGTCACCAAATCGCCTTACATGAGCAGATCCTCTAATGAATACATTTCTGAGCTTATCCTTCCTTGTTACACCAAGGGAGAAGCGTAACATCTTCAATTCTGTAACCTCTATCTCCTCCTCCTCCTGTCTTTTGGTTAGGGCCACTGTCTCCAACCCATACGCCATAGCTGGTCTTACCACTGTTTTATAGATTTTCCCCTTCATTTTCGCCGACACCCTTCAATAACAGATTACACCAGTTACTCTCCTCCACCCATTCCAGCCTGCCTGCACTCGCTTCTTGACCTCCTTGTAACACCCGCCATTGGTCTGAACAGTTGATCCCAAGTACTTAAACTCCTCCACTTTTTCAATCTGGTTTCCTTGCAGGGTCACAATTTCTCTCTGATCTCCTTCATTTAATCACATATACTCAGTCTTTCTCCTACTTACCTCCATTCCCCTTTTTATCCAAGGCATATCTATAATTTTCCAAACTCTCTTCAACCTGTACACGTCTCTCTGCACATATGACAATATCATCTAACCAGTAATGTAGCTAAATGATCTTTGGACATTATAATTGGATGTTTCTCGCCAAACGAGAGTTTGGAATAATGTAAACGACCACCTACTCTTAAAAGCCCATCGTTTCCAATGAATGGATTTAACTTGTGGAAAGACGATGATTTTGGGACTGAATGACTCTTTAACACTTTAAACTCTAAGCCCTAAAACAACTTCCGATGTGATTGATCAAGGTGGTTTTCGCCTGTGTTAATTCCTCCTGTGACAAAACACCTGAACGTCTTCCATTACTATATTTCAAATTATTTATGAACCGCAAGAGCCAACAGGTTATTAGCCAAATTTACTCCATCTCTCTACTACCAAAACCTTACAAGGAGAGAACCACTCAGTGGCTACAGGCATTGTTGATTTCAATTCGGGTCCTAAAAACTGTTCCATCCCCTTTGTAGGAATTATCGCATTTACTAGAATATCAATTAATTGCTTAGCAACCAACATGGCCCAGCTAACCACTCTGCAAAAGAAACCAGCTCAACAGCCAAACACCATCGTGTTAGCAAATCTGCTGGATTTCCCTTCCCTGGACAGTGTGACCAAAACAATGTACTTGTCAATTGCTGAATTTCAGACACCCTGATAGCTAAGAAGGTCTTCCGCCTAGAGGGTTGACCCTTGATCCAACGAAGTGTGACAGCTGAATTTGTCCAACATCTGTAAACCACACTCAGGAGTTTCAATGCTCTGCAAAAAAATGTCATTAATATCGCAGTGAGAAGAGTCCCAATAAGCTCAAGTCTAGGTAAAGAAACCTTCTTTATTGGGACTACCCTTGCTCTGGAGGAGGTAAAAATGACACGGATCAGCCTGCTCAACTACTGAAAGTCAATGAAACTGTCTCATTGTTCAAGCATCAATCTTGCCCTCTCCGCAACTGTACTCAACTTAAGTAGTTAATTTGCTTATCTTGCCCAAAACAACAGGGCATTGGAGGACCAATCTAATTAGTTAAACAAAGTTTGGGCTGATCCATTTCATAGGCCTATCTGGATTAGGTCCATTCTCCATAACTTTGGTGACTCAATATATAATACCAAATTCCGTTACAATATATATATATATATCAGCCACACTCTAGTCACCAACATTTTAACATTTTTTCGTCGTCCTAGACAAGATATTTAAAACAAACTAATCAACTGTTACTTTGAATGAAACTTTCGTGAAAGATTAACGAAGTTACAAGGAAGGAATTACGAACTATAGGTGACGACCGCAATTCCACTATTATTATTATTATTTTTATTATTATTATTATTATTATTATTATTATTATTATTATTATTATTATTATTATTATTATATAAATGATAAGATTTTCCAAATTTATTGCTAAAAAGTGTAATGTTGATTTCAGTTGACTTACTGTTTGTTTATGATGTCTACAACTTCGAGGTGTTAACTGATGTTTCAGAATATTTCATTCTGCCAAGTAACTGTAATTCAACAAATGAAGTAAGCACATTTATTCTAGATCATAAAAAATCATAATTACATTAAAATAAACTATCATGAGACGTATTTTTTTATTATGTTATTTTGCTTTATAGGGCTAGCTGATGAAGTAGAAGGCAATTAAATCTGCAGAATGAGGACGTTTATGTCAACTCCCGATAAAGATGATGAATCAAAATTTTAATAAATTACTTTTGTGTTCAAAGAAGATTTACTTCGATTAGCGAAGTTATAAAACTCTGAAGTTGTTTCATTTAGCAACAAATACATTGCTACAGAATTGAATTTGGCAATCTGCAATCTAGGGTACATTTCATGATATAAAATGTACAGCAATATACATAACTGCATATATTTGGTTTTACTATTTCTTATTTTTTTGTTTCCAAAACTGTGTTATTCTAAAATATCAACAAGCTTTATTACATTAAGAAGAGTTTCATTCGCAAACCGTGGTGGCCAGGTCCCTCCCTGAGCCGATTTGATAACTCGCTGTTAAGTAAAATATATCCTTGGCAGAGTTGTTAAAATTTTAAATAAAATGACTAAATAATTAATTCATTGATTATTGAATTCAAATTGGTTGGTTAGTGAATTTTATCATTTCATGTAGTTGGGTAGACTGACGCAATAGATACAATGAAATGCACAGTGGGAAATTGAAACTTATATTATATCCTAAAATAATGACAGACGCTTGGCGGATTTATCACTTTCCGACATTTAAATCTGATTTTCTTTTAGCATGTAGGTATTTAATTTTAAGACTTTCAATATCTAGTTTAAAAAAAATGACAAAAATTGAAATAGAAAAACAAACCGAATATCATTGCAAACGATTATTTATACATTAAAAAAAAGCTATACAAGATCTGTTTGGTTTACTTTATCTTCTTTTGAGTCGAATTGCCGAGCGGTTAGCAAGGGCTTCGCAAGCTATAGCCATAATATCGGCACTGGTTTGGACGGCACGCTCGCCTATGGTTCTGGTGGTAGAACAAGTATTTTCGGATAAGGACTAAACCGTAGGCCCAGTGTATACAATGGTTCGTGTGCACTATCAAGAACCTAGTATATTCTTCGAGACGAGTAAGTGAATACCCCGGTGTACTGGAACAGACAGCCCCTGTGGTGGACAACGAGAGTTGCTAGTACCGGATAACCGGCTAGCACAGACACGAAGAGACCCTTAGGGGTGAAGAAAGTAATTGATCCAGTTCCTAGTCCATCAAGCGCCCTGAGCATCTTACATTAGATGGATATGTGCGCTATATAAAACTACACTATTATTTATTATGCTGAGCAAATCAATATTGTTTAATTAAATATAATATAAAAAAAGTATATTAACTTTCCATGCAGTAAAAAAATTATTAGAAAACTTTTCACATATAGGTTTGATAACTTAGAATAATATATATTTTTTCGGTTTTAGCATCAGTGTATCAATATAATTAATAGTCAGTATCGATTGTAGAATACACTGGCACACAAAGGTAAATTAAATATTTCTACTATTTTTCAATAATTGTGTCAGTAACCTACTAATAGTCTTATTAGTCAAACGGATACCTCACCTGCTGAACCGTTTCTATATATATATATATATATATATACTGTCTCTTATACACATCTAGATGTGTATAAGNGTGTGTGTGTGTGTGTGTGTGTGTGTGTGTGCTTCTGTGAACCCATACCAACCGATGACACACATGTGAAGACACACCTGTTTAGAGATGACATACTCGCAAGCGATGACGTTGCCAGTTGTCAAAATAGCTTTAAACAGTGAGAGCTCCCTCTATATACCACCTGGTGACATATCTGAGCTTTTCCTCAAAAGCCACCGTTAGTTACGAATTTTTTCAAGTTCATAGACACACGTTGTGTGTTGTAAAAATAAGCAGCGGTATCCTGTGACATACTCGTACTCAGTTATGCAATGGCCTACTCAATGTTAGGGCTGTTGCTAAACATCCCTTGCTTACTCACAGATATAGCATTACACACATTTTTAACATAAAAAAACGAAGATTAACTATGTCACCACTTGTAAGGTATGTTTTCAATGTCATCGGTTATAGCTCCTTCACATGTATGTGTGTGTGTATGTGTGTATATGTATATGTATATATATATATATATATATATATATATGTGTGTGTGTGTGTGTATATATGTCTGTATATATGTGTGTGTATATATAATTGGAAGGAATGGCGAACAAACAGAAATAAACACGTCTCTCAGTTGTAGTTTGGTCCGATGGTGAATTTGACTTTTATTGCAGTTAACATAGCACTAATAAAGAGGACAGCGACGTCCTTCAATCACATAGCAGTAATAGCGAAGAATGTAAACATAATTATGAGAATGCTTCTATCAATGTACAGCTCTCGGTGGCTCACACGATAAACAATAACAGACAGAGGATTTAAAAACGACGCTTAAAAACAACAGGTGGATTATAAACACTGAGGGCGGGCTATTCCCTGTAGCATCCCCCCCCCCCTTCCACACTCCTCTGCTTAAATTAAGTTTTTTTTCAAATTTGGAAAAAATCTTAGCTTCATTATATAAATATATTACATTATAATGTATATGTTTAAATAATTTACAGTCGATTTAGTACACTTAATAATAGATCATCAATGGTGGTTAAACGTTGAAGTCTTGTGTCGCTAGAGTATTGCATAGATTGACATCTTTGGTTAAGCAGCTTTCTCTGTAATCTGGTGCTACGTCTTGGTGCCTCATCTAAGCTTTCATCATTGGAATCTGATTGCGAATGTGAGCAGGACTGTTCTTCATACGTTGGTTGTTGATAGACCAAGGGACATAGTTTGATTTCACGACGATGAACTGTTTTTGATTCTTCCGTGCCATCTGCCAGTCTTATTGTGTAAGAAATGTTATCGCCAGGTAGCGAGACAATCTCATAAACAGCAGAATCCCACTCATCCGCAATTTTGTGTCTGCCTAAAGGATTGGATTTTTAAGAAAAACCTTTTTCCAACTGCTAATGGTTGCTCTTTTACTTTTTGATTATAAATCTTCTGTCTGTTTTCTGCTTCTCGGTTGAAGCGCTCCCCTGCTTCCTCATAATACACCTACTTCATAGCATCCAGGCTAGATTCTAATCAAGCGCTTGTCACTTCCGGTTCAAGCTCATCCTGCTTTGAAACGATATTTAGCAGGAAATCTATCGGGAGTCTTGGTTCACTTCCAAACATTAGATAAAATGGCGAGAACCCAGTAGACGAATGTTCTGCTACATTATACGCATTGATCATCTCAGCTAAATGCTCAGACCACCATCGTTTGTGCTTGCTTGGTAACGATTTCAGTAGGTCATGCAAAGTTCGATTGAATCGTTCTGCTTGTCCGTTACCCTCAGGATGTTACGGTGTGCTTCTGGTCTTAGTAACTCCATATATGGTACAAAGCGAACGAATAAGAGAAGATTCAAAATTTATTCCTTGATCTGAATGAAGTCTTTGCGGAATGCCAAACTTGGTAAACCATTCTCTCACTAATGTCTTTGCTGTTGTTTCTGCAATTTTGTTTTTGGTTGCCACAGCAATGGTATACTTTGAGAATACATCTGTGACGACTAATACATTTTCTTTTCCTGTAGTGTCCTTTTCCAGAAGGGTGAAATCAACAGCCAACACTTCATTTGGCTGGTAGCGATAATATTTCTTAGTGGTTCTCTGACCTTAGGACCATGTTTAGCTTTGGTGCAACAATCACACTGCTCACACCATGATATTAAATGCTGAGACATCTTAGGCCAAAAACAACGCTTACGTATTAAACTAAGCGTCTGATTTGGTGACCAGTTTGATCGTGACAGGCTTTCATGACATCTTCTCTAAAAACCTCTGGTAAAATGTGTTGCCATTGATTGTTACCAGAACTCACTCGAAAAAGTAAACCATTCTTCACATTTATGTGATCTAGCTGTCGTAAAAGTAATCTAACTTCTTCAGTTTCTAGACTTCTGTCATCATGAGTTGGTTTACGGTCTAAATTGATATAATGCCAAAGTCTTGCAATAGAAGTATCTTTCTGTTGAAATTCGATAAGTTGTTGGTTATCATACCCTGGCAATACAGGTAATGCCTTCATTACTAGAACATGGGCTTCTTGGAGTGAAATTACTACAACTGTGGTTAGAAATGCTAGGAGGAATACTGGTCATTCCGGCTGTTAATTTAAAGTCATCGAAAGTGAAGAAAGGAGTTTCATCGCTTACCTGAGGTCGCCTGGACGATGCATCTGCACAAGGGCGTCGATCCGTGGCTGAAAGTGGGGGGACGAGATGTAAAATAAAGCCTTGGGCCGTAGGCCTAAGCAATGGTTGGGAACCAGGGGGCGAAGCCCCGGAAGCTCTGGCGCAAATAGCCTTTTAATTGATTTTAATCAATGCAATTAACATTTTATTTCCATACGAAATTTTAAAAATATGCAGTGGTGGATCCAGTAATTTGAAATAGAGCTGGGCCCAGAGAGGGACTTTTACAGATGGAGTGTGTAGCTGGACTACCACCTAGGTAAGAAAATTTATGATTATGGCATCTCCAGTTGGTCGGAAATGGCACTCTCAGACTGAATTTGAATATAATTTTAATTTTTGTCCACTTTTAAATTTCGAAAAAAAAAATAGTGATGGTAGGCCGGTCTTTTTGCATGTACAGTACATTTAAAGCCAATAAAGAGGTTTTTGCTTTTCTCCTCCTTTTGAATTTCACTTTTGTGTAAGTAATATTACGATAAATTATTGTGAATAGAAATAAATACCGTCTAATTTACGATCAAACAGGACTAGGGAGATAGGGAGCACACAAAACATTAGTTAGCATTTTACTTAATCTATCATTATCAGTGGCGGCTCCAGGAAAGCAAATTAGAGAGGGGGACAGGGAGGGACTTGCACGTTGGAAAAGTAGATCACCTCAGCCCCACCATGGTTGGGGCTGAGGAAAGAAAATTTATGATTATGACACCTCTAGATTGCCGGAAATGGCACTCTCAAACCTAAATTCTAATTCTAATTTTCCTTTTTTTTTTTTTTTCCATTTTCAAAAAATAATTTTTGAAAAAATTAGGGCCGGCTCGGCCCCACTTGAATCTGCCACTGACTATTATGGCGTCATTGCGGGACTGCGTCAAAGTAATACTGCAGTTTGTAAACTTTTGGTAGGCTTATCACTTATTCGAAATAGGTAGACATCATATCCGTGAAATTAGAAAAAACAGTAATCCTATGTATGTAGATAATATTAAACACTAGTATATACGTACGGGTCATAATAATATTTAAAAAAAGAATAAATCGTTTATATTAGAAATTGTGCACTTTTGAGTTTGTAAAAATATTGGCCTAATAAGGATACATGCTTCCAATTTCAACAATGTTTGGCACCCATAAAATCGATCTAGTTGGTTTCTGAGATGGTTACAAAATGTTTAAACAATTGCGTTTTTACTTGGTTTTGGTCCGGAAAATACGTACCGCACTTAGAAAAGTAAACAAACAAAATTCATGAGTCATGCGTAATTGTTATTATTTCCATTCGCTTGTAAAAGTGGGGTTTTAATTATAGAAGATTGGTGAAAAGTGGGGAGGACAATCGATATGATGTCCCCCTGTCCCCCACCAATCGACGCCCATGCATCTGCAGCTTGGTTGTTTCTGCCTGCCTTGTAGAGAGCCTCGAAATTAAATGATGCTAGTTCCCCAACCCAGCGCTGACAAATTGCATCTAATTTAGCTGAATTAAGATGTGCAAGTGCGTTATTGTCAGTATAAACAACAAACTTAGTGCCCAGCAAGTAATCACGGAATTTTT